GGTGGTGCCAACGGGGGGCTGGGATTACAACCAGAATCTGGGGTAGCCCACTGTGCTACACCCTTCAGTAATGTGCTCAGCCGGATGCCCGGGGACAAAACCTTAGCGCTGTTTTGACCGAGCGGTGTCCGTGGTGGTGGAGGGGCGATTCGAGCCAGGCACTGGGCTGGAGCTCAGCGGGAACAACGATGAGCCGCGATCTCTCTCGAAATGTACACTGTTTATTTACATGATGTACAGTTGGTTCAAGACCAGAGAAGATATTTGCTTGTCAAAGTTCGCTCATTTTAAGCACTTGGTTCTCCCCAGGTCCCTAGGTAGGGACCCCTACATCGGCGGATAGTCGGCCAATCACAGAAAGGTGTCTAGTTCAAACACCGCCCCACATTCCATTATTACGCACACTGAGCCGCCGTAAACACTTCACCGTCGGTCTAGACGGCGCCGAGAGTCTCACCAAAACACCGGCTCGTTGGAATTCACGCAGCTGGTCAAAACACCGTCCGGGGCCGAGACGTGACGTGCCGACATTCGACTCTTCGTGTCTACGCGTTGAATGAAGGCGTCCCGATGATTTCATCGCCCCGGATCGTGCCCTGGTGTGAAACATGAGACGTTGTTTTCCCTCTTCGGAGGCCATGTCCAGACCTGTACACGGTAAAGTCTGGCTATATCACGGCGCCCGTCTGGTGCGTCCGCGGGGCAGGCGTGCTTCCGAAGCGATGCTTGCGCCAGGCTCGCTGAGTCAGATGACCTTGAACCCGCGGAAGGCGCTCGACGAAAACAAACGGCCAGATGTAGACATTGTGAAAATGGTCCGGGGGCCGTTCATAACAGCTCTCCGCCGACGGGGAGACGGTCTAGAGGTTGAGCGGTCTGCAGCTGCTCTGCCGAAAGCCGTAGAACTGGTGCCGTCTCTTGAGATCCCAGCTCTTGCGCTGCAACTTGGGTCACTTTTCCACCACGTGGTTAGCTTGCGACTCCCAGAATCACAAAACACGAAACACGGGAAGCAAGCGAGCGTCCACCCCGCCCGGAAATTCGCCAAGTGAAAAAAAAAGAACATTGTCACTAATATATTTCTCTAACGTGAGTGCGTCACGATCAAGGTAGGACAATACTGAACTATAACTTCATTACGAGAAACCAGCCTCCATAAAATATTAGGTTAAGGTACAATAAAACGTAGTAAAACCGGACTCCCGTGAAAATAAAGCCACCAACTATTACTGAAGTAACACCGCGTCTCCTATACTGAACAAATAAAGAAAAAAAAACAGCAACCGTGTTACAAAAACAAAATTTGGCTTGCATACAAAACGCCCTGAAGCTGTACAAAACGGTATTACCGAGAAAAGGGAAAGAAAAGCCCCAAACGCATCTTACATATCTTAACTGATATAAGCTTAACTCCACTTTTCTATCTGACGAGTGCGGATGGCATTCGAAGCAAGGCCAAAAATTCAAAATCTATACAATCACTGGAAAACTCTACAAGCTTTTTCAAACCCGCTTTTAGTACATGCGACTTAGGGTGTCGGCGTTAGAATTCAGCTTTCCTCGCTTGTAAGTTACGCGGAAGTTAAATTCCTGCAACGCTAAACTCCACCGCAGGAGCCGTCCGTTTTTGGGTGACATCTGCTGCAGCCATGTCAGAGGACAGTGGTCCGTTTCGAAGGTGAACATGGCACCTGCCAGGTAACAGGACAACTTTTGCGCGGCCCAGACCAGACAAGCACACTCCTTTTCAGAGGCGCTATACGCCTCCTCCCTTGTGGTTAGCTTGAGGCTCGCGTAGAGGATGGGGTGCTCCTCGTCCTTGATTTTCTGGCACAAAACCACACCCAGTCCCCGGTCGCTCGCGTCGCACTGGACGAAAAATGGCTGAGCATAGTCAGGTGCTCTTAGCACCGGTCGCCGCGTGAGCGCGGTCTTTAGGTTCCGGAAAGCCTGCTCCATTTTCTCGTCCCAGATGACCTTGTTGGGCTCATGCTTTCTGAGAGCATCCGTGAGTGGGCTAGCTGTCTGAGAATAATTTGCGATATATCGCTGGTAGTATCCCGTCAGGCCTAAAAACGAGCGGATCTGCGTTTTTGTTTCGGGTCTCGGGAAACTGTCTACGGCCGCTACCTTGATTTCCGAGGGTCGTCGACGCCCTTGTCCAATGACGTGACCTAAGTAGGTCACCTCAGCACGCCCCAGCTGACATTTTTCGGCTTTTACCGTAAGGCCCGCTTCACGTAGCCTACCAAACACTTGACGTAAGTGCGAAACGTGTTCTTGCCATGTTTCCGAAAAGATCGCGATGTCGTCGAGATATGGCAGTGCGAACCCCTCCATCCCGCGAAGGACGCTGTCCATGAGTTTTGAAAAACAAAATGGGGCGTTCTTAAGCCCGAAACTGAGCATCAGCGGACGGAACGTTCCGAGTGGTGAAATAAATGCCGCATAGCGGCTTGCCCGTTCCGTCAGGCGTACCTGCCAATACCCGCGAATCAGATCCAATGTGGAAATGTACCTGGCTGCACTTACCCGCTCTACCCTCTCCTCTATGTTTGGCATGGGGTAAGTTTGGTCTCTGGTGATCGCATTTAGTCTCCGATAATCGATGCACGGGCGAGGATCTTTACCCGGCACTTCCACGAGTATGAGGGGAGAAGTGTAGTCACTTTCGGCGGCCTCTATAACTCCGAGCTCAAGCATGCGTCTGATCTCTTCGGTTAGTATGTCACGTTGTCTTGGAGAGACCCTGTATGCTTTCGATCGAACTGGGGTGCCGTCTGTGAGTTCGATGTCATGGCACACCAGATCAGTACGACCAGGTCGATCGGAAAACACTTTATCGAATTCCTCGATCACATCGCGCAGGTCGCTCACCTGATCTTCAGTAAGAACTTCGGTTTTTACTGCCTTGGCCACTACCGTATCTACATCGTACAGTCCCCGTTCCCCGTTTCCCCTCCCATCTAGGAATATCCGTGGGAACTTCCTCCGGTGTGTTCCAAGCAAGGCTAACCTTCTCTTTCCTCCCCACATAGGGTTTCATCAAGTTAGAGTGGTAAATCGTTACCTTCTTTCTCGTCCCTCCTGATTCTACAGCGTAGTTCGTGTCAGAGAGCTTTTGGAGCACTTTGGCTGGGCCTTCCCATTGCACCTCCAATTTGTTTTTCTTTGAAGCTCTCAGCAACAATACCTGATCTCCAACTTCAAACTTTCGGGACCTGTCCCCCTTGTCACAGTAGAGTTTCGCCTTGAGTTGCGCCCTCTGCATGTTTGCCTCTACTACTTCCTGCGTCTCATACAAGCGATCTAGCAGCTTTAGCACATACTCCACCACCGTCGGGTCTTCCCCGTGGCCCTTCCATGATTCGCGAAGCATGCGCAGTGGTGAGCGCAGCGAACGCCCATACACGAGCTCGGCCGGGCTGAAACCCGTGGCCTCGTGTGGCACGGTGCGCAGGGCAAACATGGTGGCCGGCAGACAAGCCTCCCAATCTGTTTTCTGCTCGAAGATCAAAGCGCGAAGAACTCGCTTAAAGACGGAATGCCATTTCTCTACAGAGTTTGATTGGGGGTGGTACACTGAACTGTGGACCACGCGAATGCCACATTTCTCCAAGAAAGTGCCCGTGAGAGCGCTAGTGAACACGCTGCCCTGGTCCGATTGAATTTCAGCGGTAAATCCGATTCGCGCAAAGACAGACAGCAAGGCGTCCACTATCTCCGCCGAACTCAACTCTTTGAGAGGACATGCCTCCGGGAACTTTGTTGCGGGGCACAGTAGAGTGAGCACATACCTGTACCCCGATTTGCTCGTGGGCAGTGGACCCACTGTGTCTATGACCAGCCGGCGAAAAGGCTCAGTGATCAACGGGACGAGCTTCATCGGTGCTTTTTTCTTATCGTGTGGCTTCCCTACCCGCTGGCACGTGTCACATGATCTTACGAAGTTTTCCGCGTCGCGAAAACATCCTGGCCAGTAGTATTCCTGAAGCAGCCTGTCTTTGGTTTTCTTTATGCCAAGGTGGCCCGACCAAGAGCTCCCGTGACACAACTCCAAGAGATCCGAGCGGTATTTTTGAGGCACGACCAATTGGTCGAGGTTCCTTCCTTTACGATCTTTGTAAAGGCGATAGAGTACTCCAGCCCTCATCTGATACGAGATGTTCCGCTTACTGATTCCTTCTTTCGCGGTGTCATACAGTACAGTAAGGCTCGGATCACCCTTTTGTTGCTCCATCAGAACCTCTCGGTCTACCTGAAGCAAGGTCTGAAAACTACGCGAGGAAGGGGAAAGCAGAAGCCCCCTGTCGTCCCCCGTTTCGCAGTCCGCCCCAGCGTCTCCGTCTACCCCCTCCGTGTTTTGGCTTTCAGGGGGTTCTTTGGCCGCGCCTCCGCGTTGCGTCGGCATCGTTTCAGTTTTGTTGGCAGAAGTAATCTCCTCTTTGTCGGAGGGAGACGGACCGTCCGAGGTCGATCTACACCTCGGTGACACTTCCTCCTCTCCCCGACTCACTACCTCTGCGGCTATTTGGCGCGCTTTTGCCCTCGTGAGTGCCTGCACTGTCCTTTCGCTAAAAACGAGGCCCCTCTTCCGCAGTATCTGATCTGATTTGTTCGAAAACAAATACGGGCAACTAAGCGACAAATTCCGAGAAACAGCTGCTTCGGTCTCTAGTTTCCCAAAGGGACCCTCTACACTGACGCGAGCAATGGGGAGGCAGACTTTCTGGTCTTCGACTGCCTGCTTAATCCAGGCACACTCCCCCGTGTAGTCCCCGGGCCTAACCAATGACGGGTGCATTACATCTATGGTTGCCGCGCTGTCGCGAAGAACGCGGCAAGGCCTTCCATTTACTCTCATGTCATGCACGTAGGGCTCCAGAAGCCTCATGTTCTCATCGTCATCGGCGTAATGAAAGACGACTTTTGGTTTCCGGCAACCCGCCGCGATATGGCCACTTTCTTGGCAGTTATAGCATACAAGCGGCTTGCGTTTTTCAAACGCCTTTTTTTTCCTCGGGCTTTCCCTTCTCATTGAACCTGGGCTCTTTAGAGCCGTCCTCGTTTGGAGACTTTCCTCCGTGTCGCCTACTTTCCCCATAGCTGTCTTTGCCGGCCTTTGCCGCATGCCATTTGCCGGTTCCATAGGGCTTATTAGGCTCTCCTCTAGCTTCCCTCTTGAGCGGGCGCTCCTCTCCCGCTTTTCTGCGTGAAGCGTACTCCTCGGCCAGCTCCCCCGCCCTCTCGACGGTGTTCACGTCAGGCTTGTCCTGCAGCCAGAACCTCACAGCGTCTGGGAGGCAACGGTAGAACTGCTCGAGGGCCACGCATTCTACAACCTTATCGTGCTGCCCGTAGACGTCCGCGCTTTTTAGCCACTCAATCAAATTTGCACGCAGGTCGTATGCGAGATCCGGATATCCCTGCTCTGGTTTCTTTCGCATGGTACGGAATCGCTGGCGAAAGGCCTCTGTTGTGAGGCGATACTTGCGGAGCAGGCTCGCCTTTACCTTTGCGTACTCTTCGGCGTCCTCCCTGCTCAATCGCGCGACCACGTCCGCGGCCTCACACGGGAGGAGCGTCAGCAGTCTTTGCGGCCAAGTTTCTCGCCCGAAACCCATTTTCTCGCAGGTACGCTCAAAGTTCACCAGAAAGAGACCAATGTCCTCTTCTACTTTAAAAGGCTGCATAAGCTTCGACATTTTGAAACCCTCGACTTTCCCTTGAATTGAGCGCTCTGAGCTAGCCTGCCCGCTGTCGAGTTTCTTTTGCTCCACCTCAAGTTTTTGACGCTCAATCTCGATCTCCTTTTCTTTCAAGTCCTGTTCCCGCTTATTGAAATCGAGTTGCTGCTGTTGAAAATCGAGCTCCCGTTGTCGATTGATTTCTCTTTTCTCGACCTCTTCCCAGCTCTCCAAGATCTCCTCATTTTCAAAACCTAATGCACGAATCTTATCAATGAGCTGCTGCTTTTTGGTAGTTTTTGCTACTTGAAGTCCCAATTCCTCTGAAAGCTGGAACAATTCCGGTTTCTTTAATTTTTCCCACTCCATGCCTGCCATGAATGCCACTCACGCTCGGGATATCTCTCTACTGAGAAGTATTATAAAAACACTCTTCTCTAGTAGCCCCCTAAGTTCGCCAAAACGTCACTGACAAATTCCTAGCTAAGGAACGACACTTGGCGAACCCCCGAACGAAATGAACACTCACCGACCTCCAATGTCCGATGCTCGTGAGACCATCTCCACCGCTGCCAACCAGTTGTTTTGACCGAGCGGTGTCCGTGGTGGTGGAGGGGCGACTCGAGCCAGGCACTGGGCTGGAGCTCAGCGGGAACAACGATGAGCCGCGATCTCTCTCGAAATGTACACTGTTTATTTACATGATGTACAGTTGGTTCAAGACCAGAGAAGATATTTGCTTGTCAAAGTTCGCTCATTTTAAGCACTTGGTTCTCCCCAGGTCCCTAGGTAGGGACCCCTACATCGGCGGATAGTCGGCCAATCACAGAAAGGTGTCTAGTTCAAACACCGCCCCACATTCCATTATTACGCACACTGAGCCGCCGTAAACACTTCACCGTCGGTCTAGACGGCGCCGAGAGTCTCACCAAAACACCGGCTCGTTGGAATTCACGCAGCTGGTCAAAACACCGTCCGGGGCCGAGACGTGACGTGCCGACATTCGACTCTTCGTGTCTACGCGTTGAATGAAGGTGTCCCGATGATTTCATCGCCCCGGATCGTGCCCTGGTGTGAAACCTGAGACGTTGTTTTCCCTCTTCGGAGGCCATGTCCAGACCTGTACACGGTAAAGTCTGGCTATATCACGGCGCCCGTCTGGTGCGTCCGCGGGGCAGGCGTGCTTCCGAAGCGATGCTTGCGCCAGGCTCGCTGAGTCAGATGACCTTGAACCCGCGGAAGGCGCTCGACGAAAACAAACGGCCAGATGTAGACATTGTGAAAATGGTCCGGGGGCCGTTCATAACAGCGCCTGGCTCGTTCGAGGCAGTAGGAGCCATATTTCGATCCTTTCATGTACCTGACGAGATAAAAACGGTTCTGATAATGCCGTAAATAGCTGACAGGGTCAGGTCAGTGATCATATGCAGTGGCATGAAGGAACTGCCATCTTACGTTCAGCTAAAAAAACGAATTTTGCGTGAGCTAAGATTGTCTCCAAACGAATATAAACGACTGTTCAATACGGCAGGCAAATTTCGGGAAGAGTCGTGGAGCCAGTTTGCCGGCCGTACTTCAGTTATTATCTGAACAGTAGAAAAGTGGAAACTTACAATGACTTGTTGCAACTAGTTTTCGCGGATAGGTTGAAAGAGTCTCTCCCCAATGACCCCGCAGGGGGCACCTGTGAAAGCAGGTGTTTGGAGAGTGGCGTCTCCACGGACCCCGAGCCCCGCAGGGGGCGCCTGCACCTTAGGTGCTAGATGCTTGGTGAGTAGCGTCACCACGGACCCTAGCCACGTGGGCCACCATACCCGCACGCAGGGGGAACCTACTTTAGTAGGGGCTTGGTGAGTGGCGTCACTACGAACCCCGAGCCATGTGGGTTCGCCCACCCACGTCTGGATGTGCGTGGTGTACCCGTGTCCGGGGAAAAGGGGACCCTCGTGGTTGAGCTGAGCCAGGGGTATGTTTGGACCCTTCGGGGCACCCCGGGCGAGGCAATACACCGCTTCGGCCCCTGCTTCTCGTAGACTGGTGTCCTGGCTTGGCCCGACCAGGATAATCAGCCAGTCGCCTCTTCTACCCTCTTCTTTCTTCTTTCACTTTTCCTCCCACCTCTTTCTCTTTTCTTCTACACTCTCTTCCTTCCTTTTCCACCTTCTTAGGCGGCAAGGACTAACCTTGAGTGGAAACAGGTCCTGTCCCTGCATCTACACTCGGTTATACTGCCCGGGCAGCACAGGCAGAGTAATTGTGTCAGCCAAGCCTTTCTTGCTATGGCACATTACCTAACCCCTCGTTGGGCTCCGTGGTGGGCGGTGCACCCAGGCACTGAAATTCCTTCCCATCTTTATGGGTTCTAGAACTAAACCAACTGATCGGGCCCTGAAAAGGACCCGCACCGAAGTCCTTGACATTCCGACTAAGATCCCTGATCTTATTAAATTCCCAAAGTTTCTTGTTTTCAACTCCGAGGGCGAAAAGCCACTGGCTAAACTTTCTCTATTTTTAGTATTCAAAGTACTTGAAGGTATTATGGGTGCGAACTTTAGCGCCAAAAAGATGGCATCAGGCGACCTCTTTGTTGAGGTAAACACAAAGAAACAAAGTGAATCACTTGTAGCGGTCATCACGCCAGCTCTTGAAAGAGGAAAGAAGAGGACGACACGGAGAAAAGGCTCGCGAGCAAGTTGAGCGGCTAGGTTCCGAAGGCAGTGACAGCAATCTGCACTTGGTATGTAAATAATGTATATATAAATACTGATTGCCAAAAGTGGTCCAAGGGGTCATCTCTGAAGGTGACTTGCTCGACTTGACAGATACAGAGCTAGTTGAGGGTCTCTCCGGACAGGGAGTGGTTGCAGCACGACGCATCACCATCCGTCGCGACGGCATAAAACGCAAAACCAGGCATGCCATTCTGACTTTCGACGCCACGACTCTACCCACTAATGTAAAGGCAGGCTACCTTCAGTGCCGTGTCCGGCCTTATGTGCCGAACCCTCAGCGCTGCTTTAAGTGCCAAAGGTTCGGCCATGGGTCGCGGAACTGTCGGGGCAGCGAGACCTGTGCCAAATGCTCTAGTCAGGAGCACGTCGCTGATGTGTGTGAGAATGAAGCTCAGTGCACTAACTGTAAAGGAAAACACCCAGCATACTCCAGATCTTGCCCGTTATGGAAGCAAGAAAAAGAAATTCTCACCTTGAAGGTTAATGAGAACATTTCCTATATTGATGCCAAAAAGCGTTTTGCCTTTGTTTCCAAAGGCTCGTATGCCCAGGTCGTACATAGGGGACCGGTACGGCCAATGGTTTCGATTGGAACACAGACGTCTACGGACGATCTGCTCCTCCCGTCGAGGTCCCCTGCGTCATCGGGAGCGGTGCCAGTGACACCGCTTTCGAATCGTAAGGTGGATGCCGCCTCTTCAGCATCCACCTCAGGGCAGGGGCTGACCCCCCCTACTCCACCTGGCCCTTTGGCCACTAAGAGCCGAGGCCTACCCTCTCGCACCTCTGCTCCCCAGAGGAAGCCTGGGGAGCCGCCGAAGCAGTCAATCTCCAAGCGTCAGCTGCTGGCGGCAACAGACGAGCCCATGGACGAAAGTGGGCCCAGGTCCGAGGAGGATGCTCCCCTCTCAGGATCAGAGTCCTCCCTTTCTGTTGCCAGTGAGCCCACCTGGAGGCAGAAAGACCCTCCTAAAAAACAAAAGACACCACGTGTTAAGATAGATTTTAAACCTTAGATCTTTTAAATCTCTTTTCATACACATATATTTTTTCTCTCAAGATGCAAAAGTATAGTATCATGCAGTGGAATTGTTGCGGCCTTTTTTCTAACATTGATGACATAAATTTGTTTTCTCGATGAACTTCGACCTGTGGCCATATATATGTCTGCAGGAGACTCATCTTAGGGACACGCATGCGAAAGTTTTACGGTGCCATCAAGTGTTTTTAGAAAGAACCGTCCATCATCCAGCAACTCGTCTGGTGGAGTGGCTGTTGTTGTCCAGAGCGGTCTATCCTGTGCTGCAGTTCCTCTCACGACCTCGCTGGAGGTAGTGGCAGTCCGTGTTCTTCTTGACCGCCTTATTACACTGGTTTCAATCTACCTACCACCAAATATTCCACTGCATCTACAGGACCTTCAAGGACTCATTAGCCAGCGTCCCCAACCTTTTTTTTAATTTAGGAGATTTTAATGCGCACCACCCTATGTGGGGCAGTGCCCGCCAAGACTCCCGTGGTGGGGTCATTGAACGATTTTTGTTATCATCTGGCCTTTACCTTTTATATGAAAGTGATCCAACTTTTTCTAGTGCATCTCATAATACTTTCACCTCTATAGATTTGTCTCTTTCATCACCATCCTTTCTTCCATGCTTTTCATTGAAGGTTTTAGACAATCCCTTTGGAAGTGACCATTTTCCTGTGATTTGGTTTATATATATACAGTTTTGTTATTTCAAAAGAGGTGTGGGACCGAGTGAGAAAAATTCGGGGGAATTATCTTTCTTTTAGGATACCTATTTGACCCTCAGCTGTGCCCACAATGAAGGGCCAGGCAAATTGTCTTCCAAATTATTTTCAAGAAGTTTCTAGTTCTTCCAGTTACACGGCCAAATTAAAAAAAAATTCAGGGCTATGGCGGAAAAGCAGCCAGTTGGTATGCCTGGATCAGATGCTCTAGGGTATAACCAGCCTTTCACATTGTGTGAACTTGAGGTGGGCCTTGCAACAAAAAAGGAATCTGCACCTGGGCCTGACAGAATTAAACATGAAATGTTGCGGCACTTGTCTTGTGAATCTCTAGGACATCTTTTGACTTTTTTTAAACGATTTGTGGGGAGCTTCTGTTTTTTCTCAGTACTGGAAATGTGCGCATATAATTCCCTTGCTGAAACCCGGTAAAGATTCTTCACTGCCTACGAGTTATCGTCCCATTGCACTGACCAGTTGTCTCGGGAAAACGAACGAGAGGCCGATAAATAAGCGATTAGTGCACTTATTGGAGGCTGAAAAAAGTTTAGATATGAATCAATGTGAATTTAGAATGGGTCGCTCAACCTTAGATCATCTTGTTCGCCTGGAAACTTCCGTACGGGAGGCTTTTGTACATCGACAGCACTGTGTGTCGGTATTCTTCGACCTAGAGAAGGCTTACGACACTACTTGGCGTTATGGGATTCTCAAGGACTTGCACATGTATGGCATCCGTGGCCGAATGCTGCGTTGCATACAAGATTTTTTTACTAACCGAACTTTTCAGGTTAGGTTTGGCTCCACACGCTCTGATGTTTTTCTTCACGAAAACGGGGTCCCCCAAGGGGGTGTATTGAGCGTTACTCTGTTTGCAGTGAAGAT